CCCCAAAACCCCAAAACCCCTAAAAATAAATACTTTGTTAAGATTATTTCATTATTAAATTAAAAATTTTAAAATATAAAAGTAATGTCTTTAACATAGAGAGAGATAACAAATTTGAGAAATAAGAGAATGCTCTAAAGAAATCAAAATACTAAAATTATCCAAGATGATTAAGATGAGGATCTTGATTTAAAATATGCAATCGTACATAAACTCTTATTAAAAGTGATTTAGGAATTGGAGAAAATTTAAAAGTTTCATTTCTTAGTTTGCAAAAAACTCATGATATTTTCAATGGTTTTAATGTTTTTTCAAAGTGTTTATGCCTTTTACTGGGCAGCTCATTGGTAAGTAATTTCATTCAGTTTTATAATTATGCTTCTAATTAGTGGATGCTTTGACCTAGGTCCTAATCAAGTAATATGCTTTATGCATTATATGAAGCTTTTATTGAACGTTTTTAATTTTCAAAAATATTACACTCATATCAAAGACATGAGTCCAACACACCCACTTTCAAGTTTGAATTCGTTCATTACTCTTGCGTTTTACTGTGTAACAAATCTTATTTTTATCTTTTATAGTCTATACTATTTGTTTATTACAAAAGCTTGAATTAGCCCTTTGTTTGTCTCTTAGTGCTTACTGGTTATCCAGTTAGCGATTTTATGTAATGCTTGATAACATTTCTTGCTATCAGATCAGTCAAGATGAGAAAGTAATAGCTTAGAGATAGAAAAGATTTTGAAGAATTTAAAGATGACCTCGAACATAAATTAAAGGATATTATGTATGGAGAAGCTAAATTATTATTAAATTTTTAGGTACTTGCCAGTAGAATATGAAAGTGATATACCAGAGGATGATGATGATCTTTGAAATAGTAATAGTAATTAAAGTCTAGCAAACACTCTATTATGATATTTTCGTTAAATTTATAAATATTAATTTAATAATAGATAAAATTGCTATACTTTTCACATTATTTGTTTATACTGGGGTTTTGGGGTTTTGGGGTTTTGGGG